AATGTTGATTGTTTAAAGAGTGAATAGTAAAAAAAAAAAAAAAACTTATTGACCAGAAACCCAGACTTCAGCTTCAAACAAAAGGGAGACTAAAAAATGAAGACCTGTTACATTTCAACTGAAGCTTTGCCTCTGAGACAGATGCAGCTAAACATTAACTAGGGCAGTGTGGTGAATTACAGATTAAGACTCAATTATGTCTCCCATCTCCGCCTTCTGGGGTGAGAGCTTGTCGATGTCAGGGCTCAGATAAGGGGAAGCACCGTGTAACAGGTGGCATCTACTGTGGAAGCTTGAAACTTCTGGAACTCTTAGATCCTGTGTTCCCAGGAGACAGGATCCCAATGTCTTACTTGCCTGCACACCTCCTGCAGAGTCATGCTTCCACGAGCATTTAATAAGCACAATATGATGAACACAGATGGAAAACTATACCTGAAACTAAACCTCTAGTAACAACCAATAGTTTGGTGGATGGGTGGTGAAAGGGCTGGATCCAGCTCCATAAACCCCACCAGCTGGCACTTTAAATATGTTTTTACAAATCTCTTGCACCCATGAGGTAAAGTTTGGTGTCTTCAAAAGGCTCTTTGCTATTTCTACTAAATAAATGTCGTAAGGCAAAGCTGGAAATACCACCACTCTGGCATTTTTTTTTTTTCTACTCTGGCATTTTTAAGGAATATGTTCTTGGGGACTTTCCCCAGAAACTTGAATCATCTGCTTCCTATCTAAAAAGTGCCTGGAGAGGAAATGTGAAGAAATAAATACCTGCCCAGGTCCTTCGATGGAAGTGCACATAACTAAGATATGTGTAAACACAGTGTCTCAGAACAGAGCTCCTCAATTCCAGTCTGATGAACATTTACGTAGACTCACCTAAAACGTGGGTTAAAAATGCAGATTCCCAGATGCAAGGAATCTGATCAGCAGGAAGATGGTGCCCAGGGATCTGAATTTTTTAACACTCGGCCTAGGTGATTCAGATGTAACCTTGGGTTGGGACTATTGAACAGGAAACACCCATCTCTCCTTAGGGGTGTGGCTAGCCTACAGCTTTCTCTTCCAATCTTTTAGAAACCTGTTTTTTGTTCCCCACATCCCTTCTTGTCAAAGGAACAGAATGTGGGATGGGATTATCTATTATTATTTTACAATTAAGGATAATGATGTAAAAGGTCCTAGGTGAGTCAGTGATTCTACCAAGAATCTCGACTTCACTAGTTAGCTGTTTTCTAGTCAGTTTAGTGTTTCTGTTAACTAGTGCATTGTTTCTGTAAATGCCACTAGTCTTTAGTAGGCAAGTTTCTCTATGACAGTGGTCCCCAACCTCCAGGATCTAATGCCTGATGACCTGAGGTGGAGCTGATGTAATAATAGAAATAGTGTACAATAATAATAGAAATAGTGTACAATAAAGGTAATGCACTTGAATCATCCTGGAACCAACCCCTCCTCTCAGTCCTTGGAAAAACTGTCTTTCATGAAACCAGTCCCTGGTGCCTGAAAAGTTGGAGACTGATGCTCTATGGGACTCACAAGAGTGAAAGATGTGGACTCAAAATAATGAAAAGTATGGTGCCTGGCTCACCCCTGCACCTCTGGCCGAAACCAAAACAACTGCAGCCAAACCCCTGAGATTCCAGTCCAGACAAAAACTGGGGCTGGCAGGTCTGAGCCAGTCCTGGTCTGGAGAATTTCCCTAAAGATTGGATTTCAGAGGGCACTGGTAGGATTTGTTTTTTGTTCCCAAGAGTCCTAGGAAGTCCTGAATTAAAGCAATTCTGAGTCCTCCCTGAGTCCATGGGCTCTTGTTCATAGTGGACTGGTGAGATCTGGTCTCATCCTGAATCTCCCCTGGTCTGATAAGGGGCCGTGGGCTCCTGGAAGTCTCATAAAAGCACCACCAGAAGAGCTACTGCAGGTACTGTTACAATTATTTATTGAGTGCTGCCCCCTAGAGGATTAAAAATGGCCTGGCTGCGCTGGGAGTCCCCAGGGCTCTGAACCAAACTCACCCTCTCTACCCAGCTGAAGGAGGTCAGGACTTGACTCAAGTGCACTGATAGAAGTCTTGGAACACTCTTTCTGAGGACTCCCAGAAAGTGAGTTAGCCCCTTCTTAATAATGCCTCTGTAAAATTAAAATCCATGACTGGAAACCAAGTCCAGGAACAGAACAATGAAACTGACCCTTCTCCCTGCCATACCAGACCCTCAAAGCAGCCTCATGGGGAGCTTCAGCCCTGAGACCCTAAGAGCAGAAGTCCAGAATTTCATTCTTACGGTTTCCCAATGGGCTTCAGTTTACTTTTACTTTGTCTCCCCTTCATCTGAACTCTGGCTATAATGTTCTCAGAAACAGAATTCCCTGTTGAGCACTTGCTAGGTTGGTTGGTAGGGGGACATGATTCTAAAGGGCTGGCCTCTGTCACTGTAGGTAATGTCCCTAACCGAGTAACTTGTCAATGACAGAAGCTGAGATCTCAAATTGAGGTTCAAACTCCAGACTGCCTCTTTACTCCATTAAACACTGGGGGAGCAGTGGTCTTTCTTTACAACTGACATCTAAACAGGAAAAAATAGTAAATTTGGAGTTTTCAATAATATGGAAGTGCTCTCAAGGCCAGGAAGAAAGGAGGGAAAGAAGGAAGGGGAGAGGAGGGAAAAAATGAAAGGAATGAGAGGTGGTCTTTGGGCCAGTCTGGGAATATGCACATTGGAAGAACTCACCAGGCCTCAGTTAAATGTCCTTTCAAGCCAGGCGTCTGAGATTAACAGTGTGATATGCAGCCTGTGGATTTACACAGCACCGTAAAGTCCTTGCACGGCTTGGCGCAACTATTTGCAAATGACTTCTGATTCAATTTTGTTTTGGTTATCTCAGTGTAAATAACAGTTAAGTGGGAGTTACAGATTATTCAGACACTAAAAGTGATAAACAAAGCTAATGGCAAGTCCAGATAAGGAGGAAAACCACCCAGAAGAATCCGCCAGCACAGGCAAAGAAATAAATGGAATAGTCAGATGTGTGTCTGTTTCTTGTCACCAAAACTTTATTTTTCTTAATCTGCGGAGTGGCAGAAAAGGTATACGCAGAGTTAGACTGTTTCTGTTTGAGTCTTTATGATACTGTAGTAATAGGTGCCCAGTGAAGCAAGACAGTTTGGAACCCACAAAGACATCCTTCGAAACAAAAATACAAGTGTTTTCCCAACGGTTAGCTCGAGGCTCCCTCTAAACAGTTTTCACGCCTCCATTTAAAAAATAGTTGGCATAATGCTGTTTTCTTTCTCTCGGTGGTGTGACCACATTTCCACGGGGAAAATGTGAACAGAAGTAGTTACTGTAGCATTTTGAGAAGTCTTCCTACCTGGACATTTTTGTGGAGGGTTGGCGGAATCCAATTTAATTACCTGAAAAATTGCTTTGAAGAACGTCTTTCCTCTTCTGATAGTTACAAGTTAGGAACACAGGGAAAACTCAATCCTCACGCACAGAGGAGTCTGTTTGGGACACAACAAAGGATCTGAGGAGTAAACGCAAGGAGTGTTTGGGGTTTTATTCAGCCAGGGCTGAGCCCGTGTCGCCGCCACGCACTGCTGCCTGTGTGAACGCATGGCTGAGCTGCGCCGGGTTCCCCGCTCCCAACACCGTTCGCCACCTCCTCTTGTAACGCCATTGCGCGTGGCATTGTGCTGGGCTCTACGTGTGTGGCACCGGAGTCGGGGAATCGGGGGCAGGGGGGACAAGAATTTCCTGAGTTTCCCGCGGAGTCTCCCTCGGACGGGGGCCAAGCGGCCAAGGGCAGCGCGCCCGGGAGGTGCCCGGGGGCGCTCCTTCGGCAGGGCATTACGCACGGGCGGCCTGGCGAAACCCGGCCGCGGTGGTGCCAGGGTGGGCGGGAGGTGCTGTGTGGAAGGTGGGTGGCTTGAGAGGGGAGCTGCCTTAACTTTGATCCGTCCGCTGCCGGAGGAAAACCGCCGCCGCCCCGCCCGAGCTGGGTGCCGCGGCACTCGCCTCTGCGCCGCGCGTCTCCGCGGCTGCCTCTTTAATCAGGAACACAGAAGGGGCGGGCCCTGAGTCGGCGCGTAATCGGATAGCTCTGCCGCGGCTCTGACATCCACATGCTGCTCGGCCTGAAAAGGCAGCGGGGGGAGCCGGAGGGGAAGCAGAGAACGCGAGCTAGGCACAAGCCCGCAGCCCGCCCCCAGCACATCCTCAGACGCGCAGACAATCTGCCGGGCGCTGGGCGAGGTGGAGGTGAGGGCGGGCGCGGGCGAACTCGGAGAGGGGCTCGCTCACTCCCAGGCGATCCCAGACGCCGCCGCCGCCGCCGCACCAGCAGCAGCCACAGCAGCCGCAGCCGCAGCAGGAGCAGCTTCCTTCCTCAGACTCCCCTCGCGAGGCTGGCCAAGCGGGTGTAGCCGTTAGGGGAGGCTCCTGCTAGGGGAACCCGGCGAGGGCGAGAGCTAGGCGGCCGCCTCGCGCTCCGGCCGTCCGGCGGTCTGTGCCTCCGCCCGCGTGCCGGTCCCCAGTGCGGAGGGATGTATGTCAGTGTACGCCTCTGAGATCACACAGCTGCCTGGGGGCCGTGTGATGCCCAAGGCAAGTCCTGGCTTGTATTTTTATTATTTTTTTATTTTATTTTTTTTTTTACGCTTGGCTAACGGGAAATACTCGGGAATGTTGTAAGATAAAGGAAATGATACTTTGAGGAACTGGAGAGGACATAGATGCGTTTTGTTTTTAAGAGAGGAAACCCATCCTCTCTTCCTGGCTTGCTCCCTGTTTGCTGATTTCAAGAGCTACCCTCCTCCTGGTGAGGTGGGGACCCAGCAAGAAGAAAGGTGACGACAGGCCGCCAGGACTCAGGAGCGAAACACTGACCGGTAGGAACCTTTGCAGAGGACACTAAGGAAGAACACGAGTGAAAAACACAGAGACTTATCGTTAAACAAGAAATCTACAAAAACAGCTCTGGAGAAAACCTTCTCCAAAATGGATATGTTTCCTCTCACCTGGATTTTCCTAGCTCTCTACTTTTCAGGACATGAAGTGAGAGGCCAAGCAGGTAAGCCCCCCGAAAGTTTTTTGGTGTTTTTTTTTTTTTTAATTCATTTCAGCATGCCTTTACCTTTAAAAACAACTGCTAACGCAGGGGGCCACACGCAATGGCAAGAGAAGGAGGATCGCTCAATACTGAATAATTTAGAGATCCCAGTCGGCCCTCCCTATACCACCACTGCTGCTAAAACCCAACTTTTCTTTCCTGCTAGGAGTATGTGACTGTGTGTGTGTTTTGAAACATAGACAGAATTTGGCGGTGTTCAGATGTCACATATGGACTGAATCAAAGGTTTAAAAATACTACAAAGCCTTTGCATTACAGTTTTGGGGGATTTTTTTCCCCTGTCTTGAAGCAGAACACATCTCCCATGAGTTTCTTCAACCTAGCCAGCGAAATATAAATCATTTGCATTCCCTCCACTTAGCTACATTGAGCAATGTTAACTGAAGGGCTTGGGAAATAAAAGAATCTAGTTTGGGTTTTCCAATGCTGTGGCTTCTTTGCAGAATGTGTGGATGAGCCTCCGAATCATTGGGCTCAGGCTGATGGAGCAAGTTGTCTCGTGGCTGGGCTCCGGGCTGGGCTATGCTGCCAACCAAGGCGGTTGGTCGTCCAGTTCTCTTTCCTGCCTCCATATATTTTCTGGGGGAAGTATATCATATGTTCTTTTTAAAACTAGTATTAGATAAAACAAACCGCCTGGCCCTCAAAGGTCTCTCACTCTTGTGAAGTGGTTAGAAACTTTTGGGTAGAATTTGTTCTCAACCACTGCCAAAAAGGGTGTGTGGACAGACTGCAGAGATAGCACTGCAAGGCCCAGAAGGGTCTGGGGCAAGTATTTGGGGGGGTGGAGGGGGGAGGGAGTGGAGGCTGGCCAGGGGCACTGCTCTTTCTGAGAAGGGCTCTCTGGTTCCAGAAAATCCAGTGGGGCACGTTCTTGCTTCCCCACACCACTTTCCGGGCTGAGCCTCTCTCTCCTCTGACAAGAGTCTCTGGAATCTGACAAAACTCTTAAAAGCTGCTACAGGTGATGGAGAGTGGGGAAAGCATCCCTGGAGGAAATGGAGAAAAGAGAGAGGAGAAAAACGCTTCCTGGAGTGCCCTTACCCGGAGGCACGTCTAAGGCTGCCACCGCAGCGTTAGCACGAGCCCCTGGCAGCCTCCCGGGTCCTCCCCATCACAGCGGGTTAGTGGATCCTGCGGGAGCCGGGGGCTCTGATTCTCACTCCCCAACACAGGCACGCGCCCCACTTGAAGCGTGGCTGTTTATTTGAGGGAAAGAAAGATACGTGAACGCCCTTACTCTCCAGACCCACACGTTTGCTGTTTTCTTCTCTGCCATTAATGGTCTTCAGAGCAGCCGCAAATCGTATCAAAGAGATGGGTGCAGGTCCCACTTGGGGAAATTTCCTGTGGCTTTCAGTTCCCCGTTCTCTTAATTCTAAATTCCCAGCTTGAGGCGAAATTAAATTACCTCCCACAGACCTGAAAGCGGCATAAATTATGGATGTTTGTGTGATTCGCTGTGTGTGTGTCCGCGTGCGCGCGCGGCGAGGATGCCCACGGTACATTATGTATTCAGGCACGGACTCCGGTAGGCCCGGGTGCGCGCACACTGGCGTACACATTGGCACGCACACACACACACACACAACTTCAGGTGCTGTGTGCTGTGCGGAGCGGGAGGGGTCGTAAAGACTCAGGGGCCACCTCGTACCCCCAGATGTTCTCACATCTGTCCCCGAGCGCTGCGCGGAGTGTGTACGCGACACCCGCTCAAACCCACTTCGGCTCTGCCACCTGCCTCCCGCGCTCTCCGCAGAGCCCCCTCCCACCCCGGCCCCGGGCCGCGCTGCGTCACTTCTAGAGAAGCCCAGAGGCGGGAGCGCGGGCTGGTCACCCTCTCTGAGGCCTCAGGCAGCCTCGGACCCAGGGTGGGATCTCCCTACGGGACGCGGAGCTGGGGCCCGCCCGGGGTGGATATTCTGCAGCCCCCGGAAAAGGCGATCGCGAACCGCCGGCTGCTAGGGCTTTTGGTCGGAACAGCCGACTGGCACCGGGGGAGCTGGCAGCGGGTAGCAAAGGGCGAGGCCGAGCTAGACCTCTGACTCACCCGGTGCGCGCCGGCCGAGAGGGGGCCGGGCCCAGCCTGCAGCGACGGTTGAAACCCACTCTGACGACTTGGGGTGGGGTGGGGGGAAGGGCAGAAGGAGCAAGCCGGGGAGCAATTGAGCAAATAACCTCGTGGCCACGGCCGCCTCTCGCACTGGCTGGAGGCTGGGAGCTGAGTGGGCGTCGCGCACTAGGCTGCCCCAGTCCTTGCCACGCCGGCCGCCCTGCCGGATCACAGCGCCGCCGCCCTCCTACCCCCGCTCGGGAACTCGGGGGACGCTCCGAAGGCCCTGCGGGGAGCGCCCCCTCCTGCACTCCACTCTGCGCTGCAGTTCCCCCGCCGCCCCAAGAGAGCCGGCTCCGAGGGGCTGGGGGCCGGAGCGCTTGCCGAGCTGGTGGCGGAAAGCCGGGGTGGGATTCGGACCTGAGGTTGGAGGCAGACGGGAGGCAGCTTGAGCCGCGGGAATGCGCGCAACTTTAGTAGCGCTGCGCGGCGGGCGCCCGCCGGTGCGCGCGAACAGGTGAAGAGCACGCGGCGCTCAGGCATTGCACGTGGTGGGGACGTGGTGGCCCCCCAGCCTGCCCTCCCCAACCCTACCCCGCGCCGTCTCTAACGCCGCATCGATTTGTTTGGGCTACGCAGTAGAAGCAGCCGAGCGATCCATAAACATTCTATTAGGCAAAAATATTCCCAGAGAAAGCAAAACCGGAGCTCCAGCCCGGTTAAGTGGGCCGCCTCCAACTCCTCCAGCTTTGTCCCCTCCTCCTCACACTAAGGACACCCCCAGGGAGCAGGCTGCGGCATTTCCTCAGCACTGCCCACTGCCAGAAAGTTAAGTCTCCGCTGCGGTCTTCGGCCTGGGAGAATCCTCTGCAGTCGCCGGCGAGTTCCGCCTCCCCTCCGCCGCCGCCTCGCTCTTTGCTTTTCCACTGGAGAAAAAGAAATAGTCACGGCCAAGGCTCCATTTTCACTGATTGATTTCTTTTTAATATCAACAGAAGTTAATGGAGGCGAGGCGAGCTGTGATTAACCGGCTGCCCGCGCCCTTCGCCTGGGGCTAGCGCACCGCGGTTTTCCCCACCAGGTCCCGCCCTGGCGCCCAGCGACTGGGTGGGGGGCATCCGCGGAGCTGAAGTCCCGGCGGATGGGTGGGGGGCACCTGCCGAGCTGAGGTCCAGGGCTGCCGGGGTCGGGGCTGGTGGAAGGAACCGCGCGCCCCTCCGGGAACCAGGGGGTGATGGGGATGGTTATCAGCTTTCCCAGCCAAGTTTAGGGGACCCGGCTCCACTGTGTCACCGCTTCTGCGGCTCCGGCTGAATTTCTCTGAAAGGGGAAGGAGATCGGCGCTCGGGTTGATTGGCCGGTGCTCACCGCTCGCCTCCCTCCCACCACCTCCCCTCCTTTCGGTTTCAGACAGCGAGGAGAGCCCCCTGGCGCTGGCCATTCATGGTCAGCGCCTGGCCACGAAACTCCCCTTTGCTAGACTTAATCTCGTGGTCTGCGGGGAACTGGGTTTTGCTAGGAAATCATCAGGCCCTGACAATGGGTTCCTTCAGATGATGGTAACTCCCAGCCCTGACGTTTCCCAGCCTTCGGGTCTCATCGCTTGGGGCCAAAAGAACACGGACCCTGTAACTATCAACCCCCACCCCTACCCCCGCCTCCTACCCCTACCAGCCCCTTGCCTGGAGAGCTTTGATCTGTGGTTGAGTTTTAACACCAATGCCATGGTCCCTGGCAGAAGCGGTCAATTCAGCCTTCCGTCTGGACAGGATGATCAGATAAGAGGTGTAAATTGGCTGTGGGAGACAGGTCTGGGTTCAGACAAATCCTGAAAGAGGCAACCGCGGTCCACGGTCTAGGCTCGGGAGGAGAGGAGTTTGAAGAGGGTTTTCCTTTTTGTTTTCTTCTGTCTCCCTAAATTGCCCGATGACTGTGGGCAGGCATAAACATTTGCAAGTAGAACTATAAACTCCTGGGTTTGGCACAGACGGCCTGCTCTAGACTTTTAGGGACTGGTCTCTTGCCGGCTTTCAATGAGTACCAACTCCATTTTACCCCCATAAACAGCCACTGGAGGTAGTGAAGCTCGTGCTAGTGGCCAGCAGACCACACAGTGCAAAACAGTGGAAAGAGAAACGCTCCCCACGAGGGTCCCAGGGCAAGCCCCTTCTGGTCCAAGTTGTGCCTGGTCCTATTGTGACTGCCCAGGCAGCCCCGCACGTCTGGACTTTTATATCATGCTGAGGAGACCTCAGTTAAGCCACAGAGCACCCAACTGGCAAAATGAAATGTTGGAAGGCTGCAGTGACTAGAACCCTGGGCTATGCAGACAGGATTCCTGCTGTGTGCCAAATGGCTGGCATCTCGTACTGTATAGTTCATGTTCTGCACCTGAAAGGCCAGTTCCTGCCTTCACAGTGTAGAGGAGACTAGGAGTTCAAATGCCAATTCATAAGCAATGAGGCATGAAAGTGAATAACAGCTGGGGAGAGGGCTGTGGGGGGGTCAGTTGGGAGAGACACCAGGGGCTGGATGGTTCTGAGCATCCTGTCTGGTGTTTGTCGTTTGCCTCAATGCTTATTAAAGCACTCAAGAGAATGAGCTGTCTTTGGGTAACCCAAGTGTGAGACAGTTCTGAGCTGACAGAAGTCAGATCCAGGTTCATTGGTAAAGAGTTTTCAGAATATATTCCCCAAAAGTCCTGTTTGGAAAGACTTTAGGAAATTAGAGACAAGACTTTCCTTTTTTCAAAAACGGAGCAGAGGCATAATACCTTTTTAATTTCTTGCACTGAGGAGAAAAGACTTGGAAGGTGATATCTGGGCAGTAGTTTGTAGTATCATTAGCATATTTGAGGTGTTTTATCATCTGACCATCACTTGCCACT